GGAAGTACAAAAGAGTCAAAGAGGTATAGACAATGACAAGGAATCCATGAAAAGAACAAAAACGGTGTCGTTTATGAGACCCGTGACTTTCGTTTTCAGTAAACTCAAGGAATCAAAGATGTTCTCTTAGATGAAATCTCTGTCTTAATCTTGATAGTGAAGCTATAAAAAGATCTTGTCAACCATACAATTAATTGTTATATTACATATTAACAGGCAGATTAATTTCGCTCCAGTACACAGTGCATGTCCTTTTCAATTTTTTATTTACATGAAAACAAAATTAACTATCACGCACACGGCAAATTTTTGTGAAAAGCGAAAACACAAAGAATGAGTTCTTCACGCAAAACGAAGTACATGAAAAGCCAAAACAGCTTTATAAATGTAAAAGAATCTCGTGAAACAGAGATCAGTTACAAAGTTTTTTTATATAAAAGCCACTAAAAAGGTCAATAACATAAAAGTAACCATTTCGTGTATTATCAACAAAAATTGTAAAATATATTAGTTAGCAATCTTTTTCAAGCAACCTCGCGTATAACTCAAGATATTTAACTCGTTCCATATGTATCCAAAATTTATATACTCGACGATATTTGTCATACATATACTTTGATAACAGAGAGTTGTGTCAATATGACACAAGTTTTGGTCCATCCATTTTTTGTTTACATTTTGTCAGAAATATCATATATATATCACATTACAACATATGATTATATGTATATAAAGTCTCGTATATATAAATATATAAATAGTGTAAATATTTACCTCGGGTGTGCTGCGAGGATAATGAATTGAACCAGAGAAGAGAAGTTTCCTCTGTCCATCGATAATCAAAGACCGTCCGTCATACGTTACTCCCTTCTCCGCCGTGGCACGACCGGCGCCAGCTGTGGAAAGAACAAGAACCATAGCCAAAAGAATCCAACACAACCCGACCCGACACGGCGCCATCTTCTTTCTCCTTTCTTTTCTTCCTTCCTCTTTGATGTTTCTACTACTGATTACTGTCCGAACATGTGTGTGTATCTATATATACACATCAAGCATGTGGGTACACGTATTGTCGCATTATATAAATCCAAGAACAGTTTATGATTAGAAAGAATACAAGTGTAACTATAATATGCAAGCGTTGAATAAAGTTTTTTTTCAGATTTGAGATTTGGGAGCTGTATATGTATAATATATGTATGTAAATACACTATTGAAAATAATTGGGAAAGTTTTTGAGCATCTGTTGAGATTATATAAGCCTGGAAAACTGCACTATGCTTTTCGCCTTTGTCTTACGATTGATTCTATCAAGAGATTTACTGAAGTGCCCTTCTAAGTATACTAATTTGTCATCAAATGGTGGATGGTAACATATCAACCACACTAGTACCAAGTACAAACCACCAATCTATATATGTTAAGTTGTAAAAAGACTAGCTATTTATATAACATTTTCAAGTAACTAGATTACATTACCTTATAGATACCAAAAAAAAAAATTCTCATAAAGAATCGAAACAGTTGTATATATATAGAGATATATAAATAGTTTTTTTTACATAATTAGTGATTAAAAGTAGTAGTAAAGAAAGAAAATAAATAAATAAATTAAATTGTATTTTCCCCGTTTCATATATTAAGTGTTGCTTTAGAAAAAAAAAATATTTTGTTACAAAATAAATGTCGTTTTTCGATTTTCAATACAAATTTTATTAATTTTATTCTGTAATTTTACTTTTTTATTGGTTAAAATATGGTTAGGTATATAGATAATTATGTTTTAATATAAAAATATAATATTAATTATTATTTTGATATGTGTGTATAAAATTAAAACCACATTTAATATAAAATAATAGAAGTATTTTTTTAATATGAACAAAAAGTGTAGTAAAGAAAGGTTAAATTCGTCAATAAGTATTCTGTTAAAAAGCTGAAACCCAGAAAATGATTCGGGGATTTAGCGTATACGACACAGAAATTGTTTAACTTGGAAGTCAGGACTCTCCCCCAAACACAGCCAACACGTAATGATAAAAGGGCTATTAAATGGTTCTCAAGTTTTTCTTTAGGCCCATGTATTGGGTTTGTACATCGCATTAGCTATTTGTTTCTAAAAACAGCTTTTCCACTAAACCATACTCATTTGGTTTCAGAATACTTATCACTAGGTGATTTTTCCGTGCTCATGCACGGGTATAAATATTTATAAAAATTTATAATAGTTGATTGATATTTAGTTTTAGTTTTGAATAAATTTATATGTATAATTTATATTAATAAATATTATATTATTCTAATTATACATATGACTTTGGATATATTATTGTCGGTTTAATTATTTTTTGGATCAATAGTCAGTTTGATTATAAATTTGGTATATTGGATAATATATATTTTCGAATTGAGCTATAATATTTTTTAATCTAAATATAATAAAACTTTGATTAATTTTCTTATTTTCATTTTGGTTGGTTATTGTCTTAGATATGTAAATATATTCTTAGATATGTAAATATATTATAGTTAAATTATGTATAAATTAATATATATTATGCTTAAAATGAAATAAATAATAAGTTGAAGTGTTTGATTCAAAATTACATAAATGAATACAATGATAATATTTTGAAGTCTCATGCATATATATATAAATTCTACAAAAAGAATTAAATTGTAATTGGTTAATATTTTTTTTTCTTTTTAATATGCTTTGAGACAACTTCTAATTTATATGTATAAAATTAAATAAATTATTATTATTATTTTATTATTATAAAATTATATGTTCTTATTGTAGCTAGATTTTTAAAATTTGATATAAATTAGATTAGTCGAGTCATTTTGTGAGTATATTGAGTTAAAAATATTTTCAAATTAAAATTGAAGTATAATTACTTTTTATTTTAGTTAAGTCAAATCGTATTAGTTTTATTTATCGCTTATATATACATATATTTTCATAATATTTATTTACTCTTTATTTTAGTTAAGTCAAATAAAATTAGTTTTATTTATCGCTTAAATATACATGTATTTTCAACATTTATCAAATTATATGTTAATTTTTAAAAAAGATTGCAAAATAAAGTGTAACTGACTTCTCAAATAATAATTTATAAATATATTTATTTATGCAATTGGTTTAATATTTATCAAATTATATGTTAATTTTTTAAAAATATTACAAAATAAAGTGTAACTGATAAAGTTTTGAATGTTTATGAACATATATATTTTTATTATTTGAAAAATATATTTCATGTTATTTAAAAATATATATTAATGGGGGGTATTACTCTTTTGTGAACTTTCCTTTTTAATAAAATCATATTATATACACATATTTTCGTTTTTAAATTGTTTTTGAAATTTTAGAAATATTTCCTTTTTATTATATATGTTATTTGGAAAAGGGTAAAAAAAAACTAAATAAATAATTA